ACTTGTGGACTTCAACTCCCAGAATTCCCTAGCTAGCTTGGCTGGCTGGGGAATTCTGGATGATAAAGTTCACAAAGTCCTTAAAGTTGCCAAGTTTGGAGACCCCTGTCTTAAACTGGCAGCATAGGAGGTGGCTATAGAGCAGGGGTCTCCAACCTTGGTAACTTTAAGACTTGTGGACTTCAACTCCCAGAATTCCTCAGCCAGCAAAGCTGGCTGAGGAATTCTGGGAGTTGAAGTCCACAAGTCTTAAAGTTGCCAAGGTTGGGGACCTCTGCTCTAGTGTCCCTGGAGAGCAGGGAGGAGGGCAAAAGCCGGCCCGGATCTGCCTTCTGTCTCTCCATCTCCGCCGAACCTCTCTTGCACCTTCCCCTCCCGGGCCACCTCCGTGTGCGAGGCGCTCCCGACCCTGGGAAGCATGCAGGAGCTTCAGCCGGTGCAAAACGTGGCAGCCCAGAGAGGGGTCAGTGCATCCCGATGCACTCCAGAGGTCCCAGAGCTGCGTGGATTGATGGGTGGCTTCCAGGTGAGATTCAAGGTGCTGTTGCCCCTTTTAAGGTCCTTCCTGGATCCAGAGCAGATTATCCGAAGGGTCACCTTCTCCCCAGTTCAAGGTCTGGAGGAAGAACTCCAGATCTTGTATATACACCTGGTGGGACTGTGAAGTCAGCTGCTCAACAACATACAGGAGAAGAGGGAAATCACGGCGCTCCAGTCTTTACACAGAAGGAGGGCAGATAGTGATAACAGGCTTGGAACCTGGAAGATGCCTGCTTTTATGAAGAAGAAGGAGAAGGAGAAGGAGAAGGAGAAGGAGAAGGAGAAGAAGAAGAAGAAGAAGAAGAAGAAGAAGAAGAAGAAGAAGAAGAAGAAGAAGAAGAAGAAGAAGAAGAAGAAGAAGAAGAAGAAGAAGAAGTAGTAGTAGTAATAGTAGTTGGAAGGGACCTTGGAGGTCATCTAGTCCAACCCCCTGCTCAGGCAGGAAACCCTATACCATTTCGGACAAATGGCTGTCCAGTCTCTTCTTAAAAGCCTCCAGTGTTGGAGCATTCACCGCTTCTGGAGGCAGGTTGTTCCACTGGTTAATTGTTCTCACTGTCAGGAAGTTTCTCCTTAGTTCTAGGTTGCTTCTCTCCTTGATTAGTTTCCACCCGTTGCTTCTTGTCCTGCCTTCAGGCGCTTTGGAGAATAGCTTGACTCCCTCTTCTTTGTGGCAGCCCCTGAGATACTGGAACTCTGCTATCATGTTCCCCCTTCGTGTTTTCTTTTTTTGTACAATTTTGATACTGCATTAGATTTAATTGATGGGTGAGTAATTCTCTATGATTTTGAGCGAGGGGACTTTTGATCAGTGACATTGTTGATGGTTAACCAAGCAGATGAGGCCTAGAAATTGAGTAAAAGTTCAATAAATAAACCAATAATGGCCTTGCTGAGAGCCTTCCAGAAGAATGGACCCATGTTCAGGAGCTACAGAAGGAATGCTGAGTATGTTAGAAAACTCCCCAGCAATCCCATTTAATTCTCCCCATTTTTCTTCTCTGTCTCACAGCGGACTGTGTCTCTAGCTTAAAAATAGCATCTTTAATTGACAATAATAGATGTCTATTTAGCAGAGGAGGAAATGACAGCCAGTATGCCGCCATCCGCTGTAAAGCGTTGCAGGAAATTCATATATTTGTAGAAATTGGCAAGGTTTTGGCTGCACCACCAAACAATTGAGCAGAATGCTGCAACTGATTCTGCGAGGCTCCAGAGCAGGGCTTTTCAACCTTTTCACCCATTGTACCACTTTTAGGATATGGCAACATCCAAGTACTGCCAGTCGCCTAGCAAGGTGTCAAAAACTTGACCCCGCCAAAAAGGAAAAAAGTGATAAAGTACAGGTAGTCGTCGACTTACAACAGTTCACTTAGTGACTCTTCGAAGTTACAATGGCACTGAAAAAAGTGCCCCCCAAGCCACAGCTGAGCAAGACACCTGCCTGCCCACCCGGCGGCGCTCTTCCTCCTGTCCGAGGTTTTCATTGTTCTGAGCATTTTTGTTGAGGATTGGCAGTAGGAGTGGGGTGGGGGATGTTTGGTTTTTATTCCCCCCGTCTGCTGGGTGGTTGCAGCAGGTTTTGGTCACTTCACGTGACCCTGGGACACTGTGACCGTCATAAATATGAATCGGTTGCCAAGCATCTGAATGTAAATCACAAGACCCTGGAGATGCTGCAACATTCTAGCTGATCGGCACTTCTTCTGGGCTCAGCAGAAGCACCAGGATCAGTGCTGCTTTCCAGTTGATTGGTGCTTCTTCAGGGCTCAGCAGAAGCACCAGGATCAGCGCCGAGCTCTACTTGGAGCCTGGCACTGATCCTGGTGCTTCCACTGAGCCCTGACAGCCCTGCAGCTCCAGCCATCTCTCACTCAGGCTTGTGCAGTGCTGCCACCGGTTCAGCTCATTCCCCTCCCCCGCTACCACTTTTCTAGGATGCTCGCGTACCACCTGCCAGGTGCCAATGTACCACAGGTGGTACCCGTACCACTGGTTGAAAAGCCCTGCTCCAGAGGATGCCACAGCTCCCAGGTAGCAAACGGAGGGGGGGTGTTGGAATTGGGCCTTTGGAAGAGCTGGCAGACGGTCTGAGAAGCTTGAGCCTTGCAGAGGAAGAAGAGACTCCCCAGCCTACAATGATAAAGGTTGAGCGTTGGGTTTAACGCAAAAACACTCACAAGAGAGGTGGGACAGGAGGGCCAAAGGAAGAAGATTTAGGAAGTCGCAACCCAGGAAAATGGTTGCCTTTTCACAGACTCTTTGGGTTGGAACAGGCCCTGCTAGAGTCCTCCTGATCCTTTTACAAAGAGTATAAAGAGGAAAAAAACAGAGACATCATCCTGCCAACAAAGTACGTATAGTCAAGGCCATGGTTTTCCCAGTTGCAATGTATGGCTGTGAAAGTTGGACCATATAAGAAAGGCTGAGCGCCAAAGAATGGAGGCCTTTGAACTATGGTGCTGGAGAAGACTCCTGCGAGTCCCCTGGACTGCAAGGGGATCAAACCGGTCAGTCCTAGAGGAGATCAACCCTGTCTGCTCTTTAGAAGGCCAGATTCTGAAATTGAAACTCAAGTACTTTGGCCACCTAATGAGAAGGAAGGACTCACTGGAGAAGAGCCTAATGCTGAGAAAGATGGAGGGCAAGAGAAGAAGATGACGACAGAGAATGAGGTGGCTGGATGGAGTCCCTGAAGCAGGAGGCGTGAGCTTAAATGGACTCCAGAAGATGGCAGAGGACAGGAAGGCCTGGAGGAACGTTGTCTGTGGGGTCACGATGGGTCGGACACGCCTTCGCAACTAACAACAACAACAAATCTAGGTAAAGAGCTCAATCAATGAGAATCACAATTGCTAAACAGGGCCTCCACCTATAAATTCAACACACCTCTCAATAATCTCTTTGTGAGGACTCAGAATTCAGCTCCCTGCTTGCTCGTGGAGACAGTTGGCCAGGATGTCCTTTGGCCTGCCCCAGCAAATCAATTATTATATTCCCAGGGTTGCAATGTAAGAGAAGCAGTAGGCGTGAACTTAAATGGACTCCAGAAGATGGTAGAGGACAGGAAGGCCTGGAGGAACGTTGTCCGTGGGGTCGCGATGGGTCGGACACGACTTCGCAATTAACAACAACAAAAAATCCTATTCTATTCTATTCTATTCTATTCTATTCTATTCTATTCTATTCTATTCTATTCTATTCTATTCAGAAAGATTGAAGGCAATAGAAGAAGGGGATGACAGAGAATGAGGTGGCTGGATGGAGTCACTGAAGCAGGAGGCGTGAGCTTAAATGGACTCCAGAAGATGGTAGAGGACAGGAAGGCCTGGAGGAACGTTGTCCATGGGGTCGCGATGGGTCGGACACGACTTCGCAACTAACAACAACATAAAGAGGAAGATTTAAAAATGAAGGGAAAGAATGTACCGTTTGGTAGAAAACAAGCAAGGTCCCCATCTCTCTGCTCTATACATCTCTTGAGGAAGCGAGCAGATGAGTTCTGAGTAAGAGAGGCAGCTTTGATTTGAGCTGATGTGGAGAACCAGATTTCTGTGGCTTTGTAGCTTCCCTACAGCCAGACAGGTCCTGGGCAGGAGCCGATTGCAGTACAAGAC